GTGGGACATTGTTTATTCCCACTGATGCCTGTACATTTTCTACTCCCACTGGCCACTGTCTGGCCCCCCTAAACTCTGAAGGACAGTAAACTGGCCCTTTGTTTAGAAAGTTTGGAGACCCCTGCTACAAATCAATAATTATGGTAGCCACATATGGCCTAATTTTCTGACAATTTGAATCCATTTCCTCATTAATGATAACCGTGTGGATAAAGGAATCTTCCCTGCCTGCTGTTGTATCCGTGCACCCTAAGCACCCATGGCTGCCTGAACAGTGACTGTATCTGATAAGATGCAATCACTGCTGTGGGTGAGATGGAGAAATGCAGACACGTTGCAGATTTCTGTACGCCAGCTCACCCAAAGCCTGCATTGAAGTGTGAATAGAGCCAATAGATAATAGTATTCTGTGTGCCCCTGCAGAAACCTGTTCATTATAAGAAGGTTTATATTCTGGCATATTGCTATTTTTCAGAATCCCATGCATAATAAGTCCATATGACAAGATGAATGGCATTTTGCTTGGTATACGTTTACTTGTTTCACACCCCACAACATTCATACACTGACTCATGAAACCTGACCTTGAAATGCATTTTTGTAACATTGTAAAAACCCAATAAAAACACATAAAATTGCTAACATATAGGTTAGCAACTCAGGGCTGGTTCACACCGCAGTGCAGTTCGGGAAAGGCGCATTCCGTGTGTTTCCCGCACCACAGGTGAACACGCTGCTCTTGCTATTTGCATGTGGGTCCCAATAAATTGGTAATAGCATCCTTAATGCAGATTGCAGATATAGTGCATATAACTGCACAGTATTACACGGTACCGCAGCACCATGCATTGTGGTGTAGTGTGTCTTCAAAAAGTAGGTGCTTGCAGCCCATTCAAAGTAATGGGCTGTCAAAGCTCACTGCACGGGAACACGCATTCTGGTATGCACCAGCCCCAAAGGAGACTCCCAGTGGTGCAGTATAATTACTGTCTTCCCTGTAAGGGTCATTTCACACTGATGTGTTTTGCTGCCTTTTATACCTTGCAATAAAAATATTTTCCCTTTTAAATCCTATGGAACTCTGCACACCACTATGCTACGGGTGTGGACTGTTTTGAATAGTCCTGCATGGTGCTTCTTTGGTGTGCTTTTCGAAACCACACCAAAAACGCAGCTCCCCATGAATGGAATATGGGTCAAAAACGCACTGTGGCTGTGTTTTTGGTGCTTTTTATTTTTTGTTGTAGTCACATATCCATGTTTTACAGGTCTATGCCAACCAGAAAACGTACTGGAAATGCATATGCATTTTTTTTCAACAGAAGGACTTTGAAAGCACCGAAAAATATCAATCCATAGTGCATTGTGTCCACTCAGTCTGCAGACTCGTGGGCAGGGGCGGACTGACAACTCATGGGGCGCCTGGGCAATAGGGGATCATGGGGCCCCTGTGTCCTTGCCCAAACTCAAAAAAGCCTATGTTAAAGGTACCAGGGGCATCTCATGGGGCCCCCTACTGACCCCGGGCCCTTGGGCAGCGCCCGAGTTTCCAAATGGTCAGTCCGCCCCTGCTCGTGGGGTGTATGTATTGGAAAAAAAATGTGGCTCTATTCATTCTATGAAACTGCATGTACATCCATTCTGTGCAAATGAGGTCAGCATCAAATGTTCAGCCTGTTTTCTCTCCAGGTTGAATGTTAATAATTCACACAGAAGAGTGAATAGGGAAATACTGCATTATGGCCACTAGACGGCGGCAATTATCATAGGAAATAAATAGTCTTCTCCATCAAGTGACCATAATGCTTTTCCCGATTTTTGAACTACTCTGGGACTCAAAACAGAGATCTCAATAATAGACCCCGCTTGATAATAACTTGGCTGAAGGTATAACTCTCCAGCAGCCTATCACAACTGTTAGTTTTGGGTGGATTGGGCCTTCCAAATCGCATCCTGTGTCACTTGAACTTAAAGATTTAAAGACCCCTTAAATTGCTCAATATCATTGCTTGAGTAAAGCTCAACTTGGAAGAGAAGTTCATCTTTCTGGCCATGTTTGATGTTACACCCAAATTTAAGATGTAATTTGAAACATAGTCTGCAGTCCTCCTCCCCCAAACCCACCCCCTCACAGAATGTAGGGGTTCATACCCCTGATCGCTCCTGTCATTATTTGAATTCAACTCTGTCTACACTGCTGTAGGATTTGTTAACAGGAAAAATACAAATAAAAAAAAAAATACAATGGGACTTGTCCACGGCCACTGCAGCAGAGGGACTCCTAGCTCTCAATGGATCAGTGCGGTGATGTCATTGTACTTGTAATCCATTGATACTTCCTCCAGCCCCATAAATGAAGGTTGGTATGGTTCTGCAGCTGGAAGTGTGCAGGAGCGTGAGCATTGCACCCACAATCCACTGATGGTTTCTATGTGTTACAGGCTCCAAAGCACAGTAAATGCACCAATCAGTGTAGGTGCATTTATTATTATTTAGGTGGACTTTGCCTTTAATCACTGTGGTGTGTGTGACGTGTGTCCCACGGTGATGAAAGCAGGTCTAAGGAGTGAAGCAATATCCTCCACCAGGCTGACCGCATATGATGTTAATCTGTTCTCTACCCCATATGTGACCATAAAAAGACATCTTCCGAATTCCTGAGAATGTTTAGTATGTCACCGCTAAAAGCAATACGTAAAAATGTCTGGATTCCAGGTTTGTACAAAAGACATGATGAAAAAACACAATGAGGGGATTTCATAAAAATCTCCTAGACTGTAAGCTCGAAAGAGCAGGGCTCTCGAACCCCTCGTGTATTGTTTGTTACTGTCTTGTCTCATGTTCTGTCCCCCTTGTACAGCACTGAGCAAACCCTTTGGCGCTATATAAATACTGTATAATAATAATAATAAAAAGTGTCTAAGACAAACTTTGTCTTAACTGGAGCACAACCAATGGGCATTTTGAAAATTGTAACAAAGGAAAGATAGAAGCTGATTGGTTGCTATGGGCAATGACACTTGCTGAGATAGAACTTGTCTCAAGCACTTTCTTCCCCCAAATGTTTATACGGGATACTTGGATAAATGTGCAGTGTGTGTTTTACCAGCACAGTAGAATACTGTAAATCCTATGAAATCAGAATTGTGAATGCGGTTCCTGTACTGACATTTTGCATCTGCTGTAATATAGAACATTATTGGATAATTGTCCTCTCTGTGGTTACTCACATTTCTGTTTAGCTAGTCTTAATTCTTAAATTATTGGGCTTATTTTACACACTGGAAGGGCAACAATTCAGTAAGAAAAATGCTACCAGGCTATGTTTCAGTTTTTTTTTTTTTTTTTGTTTTTTTTTGGGGGGGGGGGCGGTTTTTTTTTTTTTTTATTTTGAATAGATTTTTAATTTTTGGATAGAGTAAGGGAATTTCCCCTCATTTCCTGTTCATCTTTCACTTTCAGCCTTGGTTCACACTTGTGCAGTGCTGTATATCGCATGTGATTCACACTGTATTCCTTTGCAAACCACATGCGAATTGTGTGCGGTTCGATTGGAACCATACATTTTGTATAGCTAAAATTGCACCGCCTCCGCACCTAAAAGGTGCAGGACCCTTTTTTTTTGGTTCCACACTAGAATCGGATTGCATAGGTATTCACATTTATGCGATCCGATTCTGCACATCACGCTGCGTTTTTTGGACCGATTTTGGGGTGTTAACATATGCAGTGGTTCACTTGAATGGGGCACGATTGTAATGCGGTGTGGAATTAGCACAGAAAACGCTGCGAATTCCACATTGCATTAGTGTGATTCCAGGCTCAGTGGCATTTCTGATCAGGACAAATGGAAAGGGTGAGAAGTGTTCTTGCTGCTGGACTACAGAACACCTCCCACCCTCTAGAGCTGAGAACTCTGCTTGGAATGTCAATGCAGCAGAGGCAGCATTGTCCAGGCACAATGGGAAATTTGAATCACTCTAGATTTTTTGGGAACTCAACAGATATTTTTTGTACATGAGAATCGAACCGCATATGGTCACCCTAAAGCCCAGTATGCACTGCAAGTTTTATTATATATATATATATTATTATTATTATTATTATATTATTATTATTATTATTATTAATAATTTTTTTTTTTTTTTTTTTTTTTTTTTTTTTTGTTCAGCGGGTTGAAAGTAAAAAAAATGGACAGATTGCTGTACTGCCACAAGCGATGTTAGTATCGTGATCTCCCCGCTGTGCTTCCCCCACCATTCTGCACCAGAATACATTAATCGGCACTCTCAGCCATTGGTTTTCTAGCATGTCCTTTCAACAAAAGGACAGTCAGATTGACAGTTGTGTACACTGACTGATTTTTGACCAGTGTGTAACCAGCATTAGGCTCTTTTTCAAAGAGGTATGGATATGAGGATACTGGCAACATTCTAGATGAAGCCAGTAGAGGATCCTCCATCTTTCCATGCATCCACCACCTTGACCTCTTTGCAATCTTCAGTGGACTTCAAACCTTGGAACCTTACTTTTTCTGTGGATCCATGTCTGCAGTGGTTTCCTTTGGTGTTCATACAGTAACCAGGAAGGCAAGAACCAACACCGCTTATCAGAAACCATTTTGACATTTGAGTAGAACATTTTGTTAAGGGTTCAGGTTGGCAAGACAAAGCCCTGTTAATGTCTCCAACCAGTTAGCACATTTAGAAGGATGTCATGTCCTGCCTCTAGGGGTGTTTAGTTGGGCCTAGACTTTTGGACTCCTTACCACTTACAGGCACCTCTTGCCCCTACAGTTCTGAGGTTAGTCACAAATGCCCAGAGGTGGACAAAACTGGGAGAAGAGAAAACGACATGCCAATTAACTTTTGAGTCTTGGCCTTACCCTTTTGCTCTAGGCACTACCCCAGGACTACCATATAGAAAATACAGCCCTGGCAGCATGGTTTGAATCTTATTCCCATGAATGGTGTATAACTGAACGTCTTGCCTTCTTCTAGGTGTCGCCCGGTAGCAAGGCTGCATTGGCTGAACTGTACACCGGAGATGTAGTGGTCACCATTGATGATGGAGAGAACACAGATGGAATGACTCATTTAGAAGCTCAGAACAAAATCAAGGCCTGTGAAGATGATCTGACTCTGACTATTAACAGGTAACTTTCTCTGAGCGGATAGATGACAACATAAAACCAGTCTGCATTTTCTCGAAGTGTTTCAGCCACAGCTCATGTAAAGACATGAATGTGTGTGCATTCCTGCGGTGTCTTCCCTCCCTTCTTTGTGTAAGTGGGTGCTTGAACTATCATTAGAAGTCTGTATTCAGAAGCATGGGACCAGAGAAGTACAGAGGTCTGTAGAAGGGCAAGATGCCTAGGGGGAACATCTGAATAGACTGTCCATATCATCAATCCAAACAGTGATAGCCACATGCCTATGTCCCTTTTTTTGTTTTTTTATATCCCTTTTCTATGACTGAATGAACATGGATTTATAATATACAAATTAGATTGCTCCAAACTGTTTTAGAGATGCATGCCGGAAGCAGAAAACAAATACCCGTGTAAATGAGCCCTGTATCTCTTTTCTGTCTCCTTTATTGCCCAAGTGCTTGATGAAACTTTGCAGATGTTGAAGAGTGATAACAGCTGTATATTTTTGTGGTTTACGCAATGTGGGACGCATCCATTCACCAGATAGTATACAGCTGCATAAAAAAGAAATATTGTGTATTTTCAGTAAGCACATACTTTGAGTTATAGAACTACAAATTATACATAGAAACAAGGTTCTACAATTGTGTGTAAATCCAATATCTATTTAAAGCGGATCTTTACTCATAACAGTTTGATAACAATTAATGTTCTTTAAAAAATATACACATTAAGACTCCATGCACACGGGGCGTATTAATAATGCTGGTAACGTTAGCTGTGCAAAGTCACATTAAAAACATAAGTTCTTCAGCATTTTTGCATTAGTGTTTAGCTATGTTTTTTTTTTTTTTTTTGTTTTTTTTTCTTCACCAGAAGAAAACTTTTTTTTTTTCTTTGCTCAAAAAAAGTCCACAAAAGCTGGTTTGCCATGATTTACTGAACTTTGCTGTGTTTTTCAGCGTTGGAGCGTTTTTACAGCTAAAAAACTCCTCTAGAAACCCACTAGTTCTGGGGTGTTTTACCAGCCAAAAAACCGCTGATTACAGTCTTTATGCATGGACACATAGGATAACATGCTGGGGGGTTTACTGGCTGTAGAAAAAAAGTCAAAAGCCAGAAACAGCAGCTGTAAAAACGTCCAGTGTGCATGAGGACTAATAATTATGCTACCAAAACTAGTGTGCGCCTCCAGCATTGTTCCTGTGTCTTCTTGCTGGCGGCTGCCATTTTGTTGAAGCCCAGAGCAGTCACTTCCATACTGTGAATTTTCCCCCTATCCTTGGTCTCAAAACTATTTGTCACTTTTCGCACTTTGATTGTGCATCTTGACTCTCATTGCACTGAAATAGAAAGGAGAATATCGGGTAGATAAGATAAGACACCATCCTTGCAAGTTTAACTCTGTTTCTCCATGGCACCAGAGTTTGGCCTTTTTACTTCTGCTTTTTTTTTTTTTTTCTCCCAAATCTGGGCAATGTCGTCGGCCGATTTTCAACGGCTCCTTCTCGTTTCTTTTATCGGTCATGCTGGAAAATCTACGAAAAACGGCCGATTTTTGTAAGCATTCGTGGCAACAGAACAACCAATTTTTCGTTTTTCTGCTGACAATTCGGCCGATAAACGACCCATCTATGGCCTGCATAAATCTTGAAGCTCTCAGGAGACCACTCATAGTAACTCAATGATTATCGGCACAGTGCCAAGAATACATGACAACTGAGGCTGTCCAGAGCAGGATGAGACAGTGCCTCACTGGATTTTAAACAGTATAGTCACTTATTTTTAATGCATTACCTGTAAAATGGGCCAGCCTGACCTGATCTAGCAGGACTTCATTTCTAACTTCTTTAACCGTATGTTTAGCATCTATGTATATATGTTTTTGGGGGGTTTTTTTTTGTTCGTTTTTTTTTTTAAGTAAAGCTAATTTTGTTAATTTGTTTCAAACTTTCTACCTGAAGATCCTGCCAATAACCGAACTTCCTGTTGCAGCCTGACAATGCTAAGTCACCGTTTTGCAATTAGCAGCAGTGTCTTTGGTTTGCTGCACTCCTTTTAGTTGGGTGTTGGTCCGTCTCCCCATTGACCTAAAAGACACCCCAGCAGTCAACAGGAGTGCACACAGCCAGGGGCGGACTGACCACTCATGGGGCCCCCGGGCAATAGGGGATCATGGGGCCCCTGTGTCCTTGCCCAAACTCAAAAAAGCCTATGAAAAAGGTACCAGGGACATCTCATGGGGTCCCCTACTGACCCCGGGCTCTCGGGCAGTGCCCGAGTTTCCAAATGGTCAGCCGGCCCCCGCACACAGCAGACTGACAATGCTGCTGCTAAATGCTGTTTACTGGCAGGATCTCCAGGTAAAAAAGTTTGCAACATACTGAAAAAATGATTTGCTTAAAAGAAAGTGTATGTAGTGAGACATGATGCTGTAAATGTAGGCTTTTTTTGCTTGCATATACTTTAAAATGCATTGATCGCGCTATACACATTAAGCAGATCAAACCAAATTTTTTTAAAAGAAAAAAGGAAATGACAACTCTTTCCCTTTCTAAGAGCTCATTCACTGTACACAGGTAACCACACAGATGTTCGTACAGCCAGGGCATCTGTCAGCCTGTCATTTATTTGTACAGGGTGTACACAAACACCTGTGACTCCCGGGTACAGAAATACACTGAATAAAATATGGGGCTGTGGTCCTCTGAGCCCATGTGAATGGGTCCTTAATACAGAATTATTACTAAGCATTGGTCATTTTGACCCCTATGTAATATTGAGGTAGTTACAGCCTGAGCCTCATGCAGTGCAATTCGAAAGCTGTTAGTTTGACCAGTTACTGTCTGCAGAGATGGTGTGTTCTTTATGTTGGTTTAAAGGATATCTAAATACAAGCACAAAAATGCAATATATTCAAAATACTAACAACTTACAAAGCCATCCACAACTCTGCCCCCAGCTAGATCACCAACCTGGTCTCAAAATATCAACCAAATCACTCTCTTTGATCCTCCCAAGACCTTCTGCTCTCTATTTCTTGTGTCATCTCCTCCCATGCTCACTTCCAGGACTTCTGATTTTTAAAAGAAATGTTTTACCCAAACATGGGCTCCAAGCCCTCGATCACACTGGGTAGACGATTTTGAGTGTGTTTTTCAATCGTGAAGTACCATACAGATGTCTCTTTTGGAGCTGTATTGCACATGTTTTGCCCAGAGATTTTTTTTTTTTATTTACAAGATTGCCTGGGTAACACGTGGTTTTTTTTTTTTTTTTTTTTTTTTTTTTTTTTTTTCTGTTCCCGAAGTATTCTCATGAATGTCTGATACAGGTGTCTGAACCCTCAAATGTGAACTGGAACAATTTAAGAGCATTGGATTTTGGTTGTAGAGTGTTTTTTAGGGCTTTGAGCTTCAAAACTCAGATGTGAATGGGGGATTTAGGGCTCGTTAACACTAGAATGCCGTGTTTCCGTGCAGCTTCCCGCACTGCATTCTGATCGCAATGCCCTTGCGATCTGCTGGGGGGGTCCGTTAACACCCCTAAACGTAGGTCACAAGCGCATTTCGTTTGCCCGCACCAAGTCTGATACAGGCAGTTACTGAAGTTCAGGAAGCTCAATAGACTACAAAAGTGCTCACTAATGCCCATACAGTTCATTGAGAACTACAAGCTCTCAGATGCAAAGGCTGATGGTACTTGTAGGCATTCATTCGCAGAACTCTGTTAATGAATGACACATCAGTGTAAGCGGAGCATTGCGCGACCACTTTTTTTTTTTAAACTGACAGAGGGTACCGGGAGAAGGTCCCCACCAGCTGCCACAAGGAGGGGCCCTATGACAGGATGGATGTGGTGGTGGATGCTCAACATGTTACACCCTAAATACAGGTGTAACGTGGAGAAAGATGAAACTATTCTTTACTGCTGATGGCTTCTGTATCAGCATTTACATGCACTTACAACATATTTCCCCAAACACAAACGTAGAGGTTTTGGGGAAATACACCATACGCTCATGTGCAGGAAAATGGTTTACTTGAATATGGCTGTGTACAGCCATTCACTTGCTTGGCTGAGGATTTTCTGCTATCGGCTTTGCATCCTATAGACATCCGTGTTCATGGGGTCTTAGGGCCTGTAACCGTGAACTCCCCTGGGCCGTGACTGGAAGAATTGCTCTCTGTAGAGAAGAAAATAATTACAGTTTTGACCATATTAGTCCTGTAGTCCTATACTTTGATTTCTATATTCTAAGATTTCTGCAGTACTTGTGGCCTATGACTAATGGCAAAAATATGCTGAGCGCACCACATTCTCCTTAGGCTATCCCACTTGTATGTACCATGCTATTGGAGCAGCCAGCTGTATCAGACCACATTAATGGAGCCAACTCAATTTTTACTTTTTGTATATGTCTTCAAGAAAGTGCTTTTTCTTGTTGTTGCTATGGTTACATACACTTTATAAACAGTTTCTATTATCCTGTTAATCACAGCTGTGTAGTGTTTGTTCTGGGTTTGTCACTGATTTGGTGAAGCAATAGAATTTTATTTGAGTGTAACAAAGGTGTTTTCCTGAACAGGGCAGAAACGGGATTATTGGTGTCTCCAGGAGAAGGGCTTTGCTTTATTGCAAAGAAATGGTTTTCTTGGGAGAACATTTAATTATTACATTGCTTTTACCAATATAATGAAAAAAGTTGTGCTGCTTCAATGTAAGCAATATCCAATGCAAGGTTGTTTTTAATGGGATAAAAAAGGTTGACTAATAAGTAATAGAACCTAATATTGGGTGTTCAAGACTCATGTATACATCAAGAACTTGAATCTCTATACAATGATAAATCAACTGTGCATAAAAAAAACTCAGTCGACCCCCCCCCCCCCCCCCCCTTTGAGAACATCCCATTGAATGAAATGCATCAGGGTGGAGTCTGTGGTGATGTCATCACGCTCGCCGAAGGTGGTGGTGATGCTGGAACTATTATACACTTATGT